AAGATAAGAAGACTGTACAGAAGATGGTAGTGCATTAATGTAATGCATATATAAAGGGTGGGTATAAGAGTCATATTCTGACTGCTTGACTGCTTGAATTAACTGAATCTTTTATTTTCCTTTTGTAAAAGCCGACAAAAGTCTCCCATCTGACTGCCTTCACGTCTCTGTTTACAGGTTGCGGGCACTTAGAGCATTTAGGGGAAAAAAAACATTCAGTAATTCATCTTTGCAAACACAGACGATCTTTGACTCGCGTACAGCATCTGGGAATATTTACCGACAGTTACAAGTTGAGGAAGTAGTAGCTCGTCGGAGAAAATGTCGGAAAAGAAAACAAAAGTTGAAGACTGTATTTTCTGTCTGATAGCCAACGATCAAGACAAAGAAACAGAAATCATTAAAAAGGTAAGATCCTTTAAAAAACGAGCTTCATGACACATAACACATCACACCTGTGTATCCCCTCCAGCACCGCTGAACAAAGAGCAGATTAACATATAACGAATAATGGTGGAACATCACTCAACTTTATATGGAGCTATTATTGTAGCAAAGCTGTTTATTTGTTCCATCTACACATGCTGCATTCACTGACCATGTTTGTTTTAACAGTGTGTTTCATCTCTATCCCCCCCCCTCCAACAGAACACGGAGCTGGTGTGTTTTAGAGACATTTTCCCTGCTGCTCCTCACCATTACCTGGTTGTACCCATACAGCACATACACAGCTGCTACTCCCTGCACAGGGGACACACTGGTCTCGGTCAGTCATAGATAAAACCAGAAACAGAAGCACTATTTCTACTGAGCTGCTGCTGTTATTGCTACTGTAACACAACTGCTTGTACTACTGATACTACTACAGTACCTAGAGCTACTGCTGCTAATACTCTTTCTGCTTATAACAGGATACTACTACCTCTGCAGCTACTACCACAGCACCCCTGACACTTATAATAGCACTGAACTACTTCTGGGTGACCACTATAACCTATAGCTAGGGTGACCAGGTGGCAAACTTTATGTGGGGCTGCACTCCATTTTTCTCTATTGTCCCACGTCCCACATATTGAGACCATGTCCCACATTTTGACTGGCTGTAGTTTTCAGAATTCAAATAACTGCAGGACAGCTGTTTTTCGCTGGTTTTATCCGATGGTTGTGAAGAAAGCCGGGGATGTTATCGTCATGGCGCTGGCAGATTTAGGCAAATATGATAGAAAGTACCACAAAGAAAAGGAAATAAGCTACAGTGTTTGATTCCTCTTCTGGTAGCCGGTAAAGACAATCATCGCAGATAATATTGTGAAACTTTAACATGCTTTACTCAGTGCTGGAGTTGGGGAAAGTTGCATTCAAATAAAATATATAAGTCCTTCACATGCTAAAGGCCTAACTCTAACCTGCATCGTCTGGTTTGTGCTACTGAATCAACCAGAGGGCAAAGTGTAGAGATGTTAGCTGAGGGGCAGAATGGAAATGTTTATTCTCTAAGTTAGACAGACGTTAAAT